GGCTGACTGTTAGGCTGAAAAGCTAGGCCTCTTGGCCAATCTCAGCTTTTGACATGCCTTCCTCACTAAGCTTAATCATGTCTAGCTTTTGATTTAAAGTAAGAGACGTGTGACTGTTTCTTTCACTTGAACACTTAGAGGCCATTATAGGGTTAATAATTGGCCTTATTTCAATATTGTTGTCTCTCAGGGAATAGGGAGGTCCCCAGGAGAGAGACGGGGCAACTGCTGCTCAGTGGAGCAGTCAGAACACCCACAGCGTTTATCAGTTGTTTGCTGTCTTATATATGGGTGCATTTCCTGGTGCCCCCAAACAATTACAATAGTAATATTAAAGATCATTGACCACAGACTGCCATAACTAATATAATAATAGTAAAAAATTTCAAATATTGCAAGAACTCCCAAAATGTGAGGCAGAGACATGAAGTGAACAAATGCTGTTGGAAAGTGATGCAGATAGACTTGCTTGAAACAGGGTTGCTGCAAACCTTCACTTTGCAAAAAACGCAGTATCTTTGAAGTTCAGTAAAGCCAAAAGCACAATAAAACGAGATGCCTGTAATAATTTCTACATGTTGAAAATTGTTTTTATTTTGAAATAATAAGTTGTAGAAATTTTAGAAGTTCAGTACAAACAGATTTTTCCTGACTGATGCCTTTCTACTGAATATTTTAGTGTGTATTTTCTACAAACTAGAACCTTCTACTTAATCACAATTCAGCCATTAAATTTAAGAAATTGTGGAACATGTATGGACTCATGCTTTCTTTATTCATTGGGGTATATTCTGTTATTGTCATTATTTTGATGGTCAAATTGTCCTGATTTGGTCAGTAGGAGCATTTTCTGTTTTTTAAGTAACTTTTTTTTTTGAGTAAGATTAGCCCTGAGCTAACATCCACTGCCAATACTCCTCTTTTTGCTGAGGAAGATTGGCCCTGAGCTAACATCCATGCCCATCTTCCTCTATTTTATATGTGGGATGCCTGCCACAGCATAGCTTGAGAAGTGGTGCATAGGTCCATGCCTGGGATCTGAACCTGTGAACCCTGGGCTGCCGAAGTGGGACGTGTGAACTTAACCACTGCGCCACTGGGCCTGCCCAGTAGGAGCATTTTGATATCACTTTTCTGTGTCCTTTGGCATCACCTCATCTTTCTTTGAGAGAACTTCCTTGGTTTCCGGCACAACACTATGTTCCAGGCTTATCTTGTACGTTTCCTGTGTTTGCCCTGAAATTGCCTGTCTCCTCAATGATTCCTGGTTCCTTTTAGTAGAAAGTGGTATTTATAAGATCTTAGCATTAGGTTTGCTCATTGCCATTGGGGTGTTGCTGGTTTTAGACCCTTTCAGTGGACAGAGCTAGGGGTTTTGTGTGTGTTTATATGTGTGTGTATATCTATGTATTGAAAACTGTAAGTTTCTGCTGATACTTCTTATTCCTATTTAATACTACATGATCAAATCTAGCTTTTTTCCTTTATCTTTATAACTTCTTTCTCTGACAGAGAAACTTGGCTTCCATTATTCTTAATCAATCTCCTTGAATGTAGCCAGTCTTCCATCTCTTCTGTCACTCCACTCGCTTGCGTGGACACCCTTTTTCCTGCTTGGACTATTCTTCTCCATTATAGGTTGCTTCCACCCTCCCACCTGCATGGAAATCTGCCTCCACCCCCTCAACACCATTTGGCCTTTGATAGCCCTCACTAAGCTGCCCCTTAGCTTGCGTGCCCTCTCCACTGTGCTTGGTCTCTGACACGCCATATCAGATTGCCTCTGCACAGATGCCCTCCTCACCTTGCCTTAGAGTTCTTATATGCTGCACTGGGGAACATTCCATATGTGGATGCCCTCCTCACCCTACTTCTCCCTCTGATAGCTTCCCTCCCACTCCCACCCCAGCTTTGGATACCTTCTTTACTCTTCTTGACCTTGACTTATCACATCAGACCCCCAACCCCCCACCCCCCATCTGTGCTCTTCCACATCTAATGGCTTTAGGACTAAATTCTTCCGGAAGCTTGGGGGGGAGGGGAGGAGTATGTTTCATCCGGGAGTGATTTTTCAGTTTATCATAGTCTTTCATGATTAATGATTATTTGCTCATATTTATGAATAAATAATAAAAAGCTGAGTGGGAACTCTTTATGTGGGTAGGACAGAGTTTTGTTTTAAAAGTAGCAGATGGGGAGCTGCCCATGGCTCTGGAGACCTCTAAATTTTGGAAATCAGTAGTCATTTCTCTAAGAAACCAGCACTCATCCATAGTAGCTATACCAGTTTCCCCAAACTTCTTTTGTGTGTGTGAGATTAATTCTTTAGTGTTTTGCCTTAGGAGAAAAATACCTGCTTACTTACCATTATTTTCTTAGAGCTATTGTGGTTGATAATGGGTGTCAGCTCTTCCGTATATAGATTAGTTCGTCTGTTTTCAGCTCTGCATTTCCCATGAGCCCTCCTTGTCTGAATTTCTAGCCTTTCTAGGGTTCTGCGGAACAGTTTGGTATCAATTATCGTTTTCTTAAGTTCTTTGGGCTTCTTCCTGGCTTTATCAGTTATAGATCCATTTTTACAAGTTTTAAAAATTTCTTGCTGGCTCCCTTCTCAAGTTGGGATATTTTCAGCTGCAAATAGAAATACTGTCTTGGGGGCCAGCCCCCTGGCTGAGTGGTTAAGTTTGTGCACTCTGCTTTGGCAGCCCAGGGTTTCACTGGTTTGGATCCTGTGTGCAGACGTGGCACCACTCATCAGGCCATGCTGAGGCAGTGTCCCACATAGCACAGCCAGAGGCGCTCAGAACTAGAATATACAGCTATGTACTGGGGGGCTTAGGGGAGAAGAACAAGGAAAAAAAGAAGATTGGCAACAGATGTTAGCTCAGGTGCCAATTGTGAAAAAAAAAAAAAAATACTGTCTAAAATTTACTTCAGTTAAAAAAACAACTACTGGGGCCGGCCCAATGGCACAGCAGTTAAGTGCACACGTTCCGCTTTGGTGGCCCGGGGTTTGCCAGTTTGGATCCTGGGTGTGGACGTGGCAACACTTGGCAAGCCATGCTGTGATAGGCATCCCACATATAAAGTAGAGGAGGATGGGCACAGATGTTAGCTCAGGCCAGTCTTCCTCAGCGAAAAGAGTAGGATTGGCAGCAGTTAGCTCAGGCCTAATCTTCCTCAAAAAAAAAAAAAAAAAACAAAAAACGAAAAATTGCTACTTCTATAACAAGAAATCCAAAGGTATGGGGTTGGTTAATTTAACAGTTTGATAAATCTAGCATAGATCCGGGTCATTTTCATCTTTCTTCTCTTCCATCAAATCGTTTCTGCTGTTTTTCCTGTCTCATAATTATAGCAGTTTTGGGCATTACTTTCTCACAGAAGAACATCCAAAGTCTGCAGGGCGACATTATTTCCCTGTGTTTTGTTTTTAAGGTCAGATAAAACCTTCTCAGAACCCCAACTCACATCTTGTTTGTCAGAATTCATCCATCACATTTGTGTTTGACAACCAGTTAGTGTGTGTGTGTGTGTGTGTGTGAATGGAATTACTATAAATCTGCTATCTTTAGACCTTTGCTGCTTTGATGAACGGCATTAGGTATCCTGGGACTTACTCAGTTAGAGTCTGCATTTAAACAAGATTCCCCAAGTCAATAAGAAGACTTCTGCAAGTCAACAAGGTGACTTGATTGTACAGTAGTATTTGAGAAATCAGCATCTGGACTAGTCAATGTTTAACCCCCCTGGGACTGAGAGAAGCCTCACTTGTGAAAGCCACAGGGTCTCGAAATACCTGAACAAAATCAAAGTTGAATGAGAAAGGAAGGAGGAGGGGGAGTCAGTGTAGAATGGCTGTTGGTTTGGCAACCAACCGTGTCTGCCCATACTCTCTTTCCTTTTTTTTTGGTGATAGTTCTGTGTGTGTGTTCTTTTTTCTGAAGTCTTTCTTATAGAATGTATCATTCTTATAGAGTGATACACTTATAGAATGATACAATCTTATAGAATGTATCATTCTCATAGAGTGATAGAGTCTGTCATTCTTACAGAAGGAAGAAAAGATGAATGCAGGTGCAGCTAGTCTGCCATCTTGGGTAGATCTGTTACTGCTTTTCTTTTATTGAATCCCATAAAATATTAATGATATGCATATATAATGTCTTGTAATCTAAAGTTCTATACTTGAAGGAGGAAATAGATCTTTATTAACCTTCATTTAGTGTCTATTCATTTTCTGTTATCCTGTGACAAATTTAGCAGCTTAAAACAATACTCTTATTATCTCATAGTTTTTGTGATTCACAGTCTGGGCATGTCTAACTGGGTCCTCTGCAAGGCTGCAGTCAAGGTTTTGTCCAGGGCTGGTTCTCACCTAGGGAGGGATCTGCTTCCAAGCTCACAGGTTTATTGGCATTATTCAGTTCCATATGGGCTTTTGGACAGAGGGCCTCAGTTTTTTGCTCGCTGTCAACCAGAGACCTCCTTTAGTTGCTTGCATGTGGCCCTCTCTGTAGGCCAGCTTACAGCATAACTGCTTGCATCTTCAAAGTCAGTAAGTTTCCTAGTAAGATGGACATTAAAATCTTATGTAGTCACATACAGTCCATCATCTTTGTCATATTCTGTTGGTTAGAAGTCAGTCATAGGTCATGTCCACACTCAAGGAGAGAGAATTACACAAGAACATGAATATCAAGAGATAGGGATCATGGGGACCACCTTAGAGTTTGTCACAAAGGATATACATCTGACTATAAGAATAACTGATGACATGAATTATGCATTGTATTGAGGCTTCTACTTAAAACTTGTGCTGTTTTTTATACTAATGTAATCAAGAAATTTGCTGATACAGACAAATTTTTAAAGTCGTTGAGGTAAGCCTTGATGATAATCTTTGTAACATTATTACAGATTTCTTAGTTTTAAGTTTATTAATATGGTTAGTAGTATTTCATGGATTAAGTTTAGACATTTCTTTTTTCTTTTTTTAGTTGACTATATTGTGGAGTATGACTATGATGCTATACATGATGATGAATTAACTATTCGAGTTGGGGAAATCATCAGGAACGTGAAAAAATTACAGGAGGAAGGATGGCTAGAAGGAGAACTAAATGGGAGAAGAGGAATGTTTCCTGATAATTTTGTTAAGGTAAGTATTCTCTGTTAAATTTCTGGTTGTTGGTTAATAGGATTTAGTCTTTAATTTCAAGAAGTATATATATGTATGTATATATTTAGATAAACTTTTACTCTGTAGAATTTAAAAAACTAGAGGTCTAAGTACCTCTATAATGGATATTGTTGTTTGGTGTCCTGGTGGATAATTATTCTGTGTATATGTATGTGTGTGTTTGTATATGTATATATGAATCTATCTACCTGTCTACCTGCCTTTTTTTTTTTTTAATAAACAGTAGTTTGCGTTTGCTCTGTACATTCTCATTTGAGCCTGTAAGTCTTGTGAAGTAAGTAGATAGCCCCATTTTAAATATGGTGACATACAGACTGAGAGGTTAAGTGGTTTATCCAGTGTTGGGTAGCTAATAAGACATAGAATCTGAACTGAAATTCTGAATAGTTGCCTCATTACTCAAGTCGTATTGTATCCTGTTGGTTTTCCAGCCCCTTTGAGAATGTCTTAGACTCCTGTTTTGAAGTTTCAACATTGCAGCACTTATCTACTCAAGTAACAGTTACTCTTCAACCACCACAAACATTCCTTTTTTAGTAAATATTCTAGTCACCTCTGCCAGAAAACAATCAGGATTCATAAATTGGTTACAAACTAATAAAGTTCTCAACAGTTTAGAGAAGGAAAAAAAGCATATCTGTATAGTTACAGGCTACTTATAATTGTCGTTTTGTATTTTAGTTTTCCTACACTCAGCTGTAGTCATGGCCTCATTAGATCATGATTATGAGTCCTTTGAGGAAAGCTAGGGTGTACGTCTCCTTTCTTTGTCCAACTTGCACAGTAGTTGTTAGAATCCTGCACAATGTGTTTCCTAAATATTTGTTCCCTGAATAAATTGTGTTTATTTTAATTGTGGTTTTACCCCTAAGTATAAACACATACGTGACTCTGGTGGTTGATTTTGGAGAAGGTGAACCAACTACACTTTACCTAGTAATATTTTATCTCTTGGAGGAACTGAGAAAAGCTGTAGTAGGAAATTGAATTTATGGGAGAAGGTTGATTTTGTTTTTACTTTTTGTTTTATAAATTGACTTCTTTTTTATAACCTAAAATGGAGTCTAGTGCAGATGCTATGGAAATCGGAGTAGGATATCTGGTTTTCAGCACAGTCGAGTTCCAGCTTTGCCCTTTGCTGGTGGTGTGATATAGGGCAAATCACATAATTTCTGTTTTCTTTTCTTTTTCTTTAATATACTTTATTTATTTATTGAGGAAGATTAGCCCTGAGCTAACATCTGCTGCCAATCCTCCTCTTTTTGCTGAGGAAGATTGGCCCTGAGCTAACATCCGTGCCCATCTTCCTCTACTTTATATGTGGGACGCCTGCCACAACAAGGCTTGACAGGCGGTGCATAGGTCCCCACCAGGGGTCCGAGCTGGCAAACCCTGGGTTGCTGGAGGAATGTGTGAACTTTAACTGCTGCGCCACCAGGCCGGCCCCTGTTTTCTTTTCTTTAAAATGGTACATTGATGGTCTGTTTATAGTAAGCCATGACTTTGGCCTCTCATCTCTCTCTTTTTTCAGGATTGTGGCTTTTCAGAGAGAATATATTGAAGTAATAGAACATTGGTTAAAAAAAGTTAAAAAGTTAAGTAAAAAATATTCAAGGGCAAGGTGTAATTTATAATTCACTGTCCAGTTGAAAATAAGCATTTTAGTGGGACATTAAGGTACATATGTTATTTTGTAAATGTGAGACTGTGGAGTGAATGGTAGAACTAGGTTTCCTATAAAAAACTCATGTCACAGTTATTGTTTTAGATAGCTATACTGAAGAGCAGTGATATTCAAATTGGCTGGAAGATGAGTAGAAAGGTCAAATCATTTTTACAACTACTGTGAAAAACTATAGACACTGCAAATTTGTTTTGTGACAAACATGTCAATTTCAGTGTCCCTTTGCAATGTTAGTTCATCTGTACATGATTTAAAAAATATTTTACAAAAAATATAGAACAAGATCTGTGAACTTAATGTACAGAATGTTATCATTTTGTCATTTTTGTTTCAAAGTGTTACTTTATAATAAAGAGATGGACCATTACAGATAAAATTGAATTCTTTGTTTCCCCCTTCTTATTTCTCTCTCCCCCAACCACCTGTATTCTGAAGTTGTATGTATCCTTCTAATACATAGTTCTGTACATATTATCTGTGCATAAACAAATAGTATTTTGTGTTATGTAGACATTTACGTTATTACCGTTGTCAGATTGCAACTTTTTTTATGCGTAACATGAGATTTCTGTGGATACATAGTATAGTCACTTCTGCTACAGTGTGTTTTATAGCACTAGTTGACTCATAAGTGATTGGTAAATAGAGGAAGGATGTCAGGACAGTGGGAAAGTTATGTTTGTTTTCTAGGTAAGGGGAGCTGGGATAAAGAATGGAGAATTCTAATTTCAGTAAGAAGGGGATATGCTCTCAGTTTGGCTGCTTGCATAGAAGGGAGTTCTTTTGGCTCTTACACAAAACGTTTTTTTGGGTTTTAAGTGGTTATCTGTACTTGGGTGTTTTCCTCAAAGTTACATAGTCCTAGCATTGTAGAGCTCTTAGCCCCTGGAGCTCACCTCCACTTCTGTCTGTACTGCCTCAGCATCCACAAGCCAACATCTTCACTTTATTGTTTTTATGTATTTTTAATGGCTCCTGAGGAATCCAATTGTCATGACTGCTTGGGCAGTCTTAAGTTATTGCCCATCTTTCAAGGTTCCAGTTATTGTTATTTATTTGTTTACATTTTTAGTGCTCAGGTTCCAAAGTTGCATAGGTTTAGATTCGTCTGCACCAGACCGTACTTTTGCATAATCATGGATATTTTAGTGTTTGATTCAGAAGTTTTCACATAATCAGTGGTATTTTAGTGTGTAATTTTTTTCAGAACGTCATCTGTTTAGGAATGCACATTTGGTGTTATAGCAGAAGCTCCTTTTGTACTAGTTAATTTTTTAAAAACTTTTTATTAAGATTATGATAGTTTACAACCTTGTGAAATTTCAGTTGTACATTATTGTCAGTCATGTTGTAGGTGCACCACTTTACCCTTTGTGCCCTCCCCCCACGCCTTCTTTCGCCTGGTAAACACCAATCAGTTCTCTTTGTCTATATGTTTAACTTCCAGCTATGAGTGGAGTTGTACAGACTTCGTCTTTCTCTATCTGGCTTATTTCACTTAACATAATACCCTCAAGGTCCATCCATGTTGTGAATGGGACGATTTTATCCTTTTTTATGGCTGAGTAGTATTCCATTGTGTGTGTGTGTGTGTGTGTGTGTGTGTGTACATATATACCATATCTTCTTTATCCAACCATCAGTTGATGGGCACTTAGGTTGCTTCCACATCTTGGCTATTGTAAATAATGCTGCAATGAACATAGGGGTGGATGGGATTTTTGGAATTGCTGATTTCCAGTTCTTTGGATAGATACCCAGTAGTGGGATGGCTGGGTCATATGGTATTCTATTTTTAATTTTTTGAGGAATCTCCATACTGTTTTCCATAGTGGCTGCACCAGTTTGCATTCCCACCAACAGTGTGTGAGGGTTCCTTTTTCTCCACAACCTCTCCAACATTTGTCACTTTTTGTTTTGGTTATTTTTGCCATTTAACAGGTGTAAGGTGATATCTTAGTGTAGTTTTGATTTACATTTCTCTGATGATTAGTGATGATGAGCATCTTTTCAAGTGTCTATTGGCCATCCATATATCTTTTCTGGAGAAGTGTCTGTTCATGTCTCCTGCCCATTTTTTGCTCGGGTTGTTTGATTTTTTGTTGTTGGGCTGTGTGAGTTCTTTATATATTATGGAGATTAACCCTTTGTTGGATATATAACTTGTAAATATTTTTTCCAAACTAATGGTTTTTTTTTTTTTTGGTTTCAATCCTGTTTTCCCTTGCCTTGAAGAAGCTCTTTAGTCTGATGAAGTCCATTTGTTTATTCCTTGTATTGTTTCCCTCGTCTGAGGAGTTATGGTGTGCGAAAAGATCCTTTTGATACTGAGGTCAAAGAGTGTACTGCCTATATTCTCTTCTAGAAGACTTGTTTCAGGTCTAATCTTTAGGTCTTTGATCCATTTTGAGTTTATTTTTGTGAATGGTGAAAAAGAATGGTCAATTTTCATTCTTTTACATGTGGCTGTCCAGTTTTCCCAGCACTATTTGTTGAAGAGGCTTTCTTTTCTCCATTGTAGGTCCTCAGCTCCTTTGTCGAAGATAAGCTGTCCATAGATGTGTGGTTTTATTTCTGGGCTTTCAATTCTGTTCCATTGATTTGTGCATCTGTTTTTGTACCAGTACCATGCTGTTTTGATTACTGTAGCTTTGTAGTATGTTTTGAAGTCAGGGATTGTGAGGCCTGCAGCTTTGTTCTTTTTTCTCAGGATTACTGTAGCAATTTGGGGTCTTTTGTTGCCCCATATGAATTTTAGGATTCTCTGTTCTATTTCTGTAAAGAATGTCGTTGGGATTCTGGTTGGGATAGCGTTGAATCTGTAGATTGCTTTAGGTAGTATGGACATTTTAACTGTTTATTCTTCCAATCTACGTGCATGGAATGTCTTTCCATCTCTTTATGTCGTCATCAATTTCTTTCAGGAAAGTCTTATAGTTTTCGTTGTATGTGTCTTTCATTTCCTTGGTTAAATTTACCCCAAGGTAGTTTATTCTTTTTGTTGCAATTGTGAATGGGATTGAGTTCTTGAGTTCTTTTTCTGTTAGTTCGTTGTTAGAGTATAGATATGCTACTGATTTATGTATGTTGATTTTATACCCTGCGACTTTGCTGTAGCTGTTGATTATTTCTAATAGTTTTCCAGTGGATTATTTGGGGTTTTCTATGTATAAGATCATGTCGTCTGCAAACAGTGAGAATTTACTTCTTCATTGGCTCCTTGGATTCCTTTTATTTCTTTTTCCTGCCGTATTGCTCTGGCCAAAACCTCCAG